GCCGTGGAGGAGATTCGATTGCTCTCACGGCGTGGGCAGTGTTTGTCTTTTGCCTGTGTTCAGACATGATTATGGAGGCTGGCTTGTTTTGTCTTGCTCTGCCACGGTCACAGAGTGGCCTTGTCTGATGCCGGCGCCCTGTGAGAGTGTTTATGTCCAGCAGGAGGACCTCGGGGCCCAGCTGTGACTGCCAGGCCAGCTCCTAGCAACACCAAGGCCAGCTGTGAACACAGGCCAGCTCCTGTGTCTGTCTCAAAGGTCGTGCTCAGACCTAACCAGATGGGACGCTGGGAGGGTTGGGCTGTGTCTCCAAAGCTCACTGCTCTATCTCTGTTGCCTAGAACAGGGCCCAGGATCCAGAGGAGGGATCTGCTTATTCACGCAGCAGCACGCTGTGCAGCCAGAGACGTCTTTTCCTCTGCCCGTCTGCACTCCAGCCTGGCAATCACTGAGGCTCTATCTAAAAAAAAAAAAAAAAAAAATCAATCAAACAAGCAAACAAAAAAACGAGTTAATATCATTAGTCATTAGGAAAAGGGAAAACAAAACCACAATGGGATAGCACTTCACACCCACTATGATGGCATCCTAATCAAAACGGATGTTGCAAAGACGTGGAGATTTGGAGCCCTTGTACGATGCTGGTGGGTATGAAAATGGTACTGCTGCTGTGGAAGCTGTTGGGCAATTCCTCCAAAAGCTCAACACAGCCATGTGCCGTGGTTCATGCTTGTAATCCCAGCACTTTGGGAGGCCGAGGTGGGAGGATCACCTGAGGTCAGGAGTTCAAGACCAGCCTGGTCAACATTGTAAAGCTCTCTACCAAAAATACAAACATTAGCCGGGCTTGGTGGCAGGCACCTGTAATCCTAGCTACGTGGGAGGCTGAGGCAGGAGAATCACTTGAACCTGGGAGGTGGAGGTTGTGGTGAGTTGAAATCATGCCATTGCACGCCAGCCTGGGGCACAAGAGCGAGACTTTGTCTCAAAAAAAAAAAAAAAAAAAAAAAAAAGTTAAATATAAAGTTACAATATGACCCAGCAATCCTACTTCTAGCTGTAGACCCAAAGGAAATGAATACACAGGGACTCCAACCACATATTCACGAATGTTTATAGTTATTCTTATTCACGATCCCCAAAAGGCAGAAACAGCCCAAATGACCATCAGCTGATGCGTGGATAAACAAAATGTGATCCATCTATACAGCGCAATGTCATTCAGCTGCAAGTGGAATGAAATTCTGACACATGCTGCAACTTAGATTAACCTCAACAAACATGCTCAGCGGTGGCTCATGCCTGTAATCCCGGCACTTTGAGAGGCCAAGGCAGGAGGATCCCTTGAGTCCAGGAGGTCGAAACCAGCCTGGTGAACATAGAGAGATCCCCACCTCTGCAAAAGAAAAATTTAAAAATTGGCCAGATGGGGTGGCGTGCACCTGTAGTCCCTGGCAATGTGGAGGCTGAGGCAGGAGGATCTCTCACGCCCAGGGTTTCAGGCCGCAATGAGCTATGAATGCATCACTGCACTCCAGTCTGGTGACAGAGCCAGACCCTGTCTCAAAAACAAAAAGCAAAAACTGAAACAACCCATTATGCTTGGTGGAAGAGGCTAACACAAATGGTCACATATCGTGTGATTCCATTTATACAAAATATCAAGAAGGCCATGCACAGTGGCTCATGCCTGTAATCCCAGCATTTTGGGAGGGTGAGGCGGGTGAATCCCATGAAGTCAAGGGTTCGAGATCAGACTGGCCAACATGGTGAAATCCTGTCTCCACTAAAAATGCAAAAATTAGGCTGGATGTGGTGGCTCATGCCTGTAATCTCAGCACTTTAGGAGGCTGAGGTGGGTGGATTACCTGAGGTTGGAAGTTCAAGACCAACCCAACCAACATGGAGAAACCCCGTCTCTACTAAAAATACAAAATTTGGAGTGGTAGTGCGTGCCTGTAATCCCAGGTACTTGGGAAGCTGAGGCAGAAGAATTGCTTGAACCTGGGAGGTGGAGGTTGCAGTGAATGGAGATTGCAGCATTGAAGTCCAGCCTGGGCAACAAGAGTGAAACTCTGTCTCAAAAAACAAAAACAAAAATGAGCCCAGTGTGGTGGCACATACCTGTACTCTTAGCCATTCAGGACGCTGAGTAGGAGAATTGCTTGAACCTGGGAGGCGGAGGCTGTAGTGAGCTAAGATGGAGCCACTGCATTCCAGCCTGGGCGACAGAGTGAGACTCTGTCTTAAGAAAAAAAAAAAAAAAAAAAAAAAAAAAGAAACCAAGAAGAGGTAAAAATATAGAGAGACAGCAGAGAATGCAGATTAGTGGTTGCCAGGGACTGGGAGGAGGGAGGACTTGAGTAATTGCTTTATGGCAGGCTGCAGCAGAGGAAAAATACTTTTTCCTCTATTCCTAGATCTTACCTGTGATGGACCCTTGCAATGAAAGAATTAGCAAGAGCAGGTGTGGTGGCTCCTGCCTGTAATCCCAGCACTTTGGAAGGTTGAGGCGGGAGGATCGCTTAAGGCCAGCCTGGACAACATGGAGACTCCATTTCTGCAAAAAATAAAAAATAGCTGGGCGCGGTGGCTCAAGCCTGTAATCCCAGCACTTTGGGAGGCCGAGGCGGGTGGATCACGAGGTCAAGAGATCGAGACCATCCTGGTCAACATGGTGAAACCCCGTCTCTACTAAAAACACAAAAAAGTAGCTGGACATGGTGGTGCGTGCCTGTAATCCCAGCTACTCAGGAGGCTGAGGCAGGAGAATTGCTTGAACCCAGGAGGCGGAGGTTTCGGTGAGCCGAGATCGCGCCATTGCACTCCAGCCTGGGCAACAAGAGCAAAACTCCGTCTCAAAATAAAATAAAATAAAATAAAATAAAATAAAATAAAATAAAATAAAATAAAAATAATAAAAAATAAAATTAGCTAGTTGTGGTGGTGGGTACCTGTGGTCCCAGCTACTCAGGAGGCTGAGGTGGGAGGATTGCTTGATCCCAGGAGTTCGAGGCTGCAGTAAGTTATGATCATGCTGCTGTACCCTTTTTTGTGGGTAGTTGGTCAAGCTACTGTGGGGCAGAATGTAGCAAGCTCTGAGCATCATCCTAGGTCTTCAGGCCCAAAGAGCACACATGTGTTGGCCTCACCTCTGCAAATTTGGTTCCTCCCAGAGTGAGACCCTGTCTCAAAAAAAAAAAAAAAAAAAAATTAACAAGGGGAAGACAAATTTGTTAACATGTGTATGCCTTATGTATACATGGAAATGCCAGGAGAAATGGGGTGCTTTATAGAGCTTATATAACTCCTGCTTATATAGCACCTTCAACATAGAACAGCAAATTTTTGGAGAAGTGACAAGACAAACGAAAAGGACATTGAGGCTGGGCACAGTGGCTCATGCCTGTAATCCCAGCACTTTGGGAGGTCAAGGCGGGCAGATCATTTGAGGTCAGGAATTCGAGACCAGCCTGGCCAACATGGTGAAATCCCATCTCTACCAAAATACAAAAATCAGCTGGGCACAGTGGTACACACCTGTGATCCCAGATACTTGGGAGGCTGAGGCACAAGAATCACTTGAACCAGGGAAGGGGAGGATGCAGCGGGCAGAGATGGCACCACTGCACTCTAGCTTTGGGAACAGAGCAAGACTGTCTCAAAAAAAAAAAAAAAAAAAAAAAAAAAGACGTTTCCAGACAAGGGTCTAAAGGTGTCGCTGGTGATCAATCTTTGTCCTTCCTGATAGGAGAGGAGGGCACCTTTGTACATTTAGTTCCTGCTTTGAGCCAAATCAGGAAGAGCAGAGAGCTTTTCCTGTATCAGCTCTATTGATCTCAGCTCAAAATAATCCTATACCAAGGTCGCATATTTCAGAAAGGCATATTCTGGTCTCCTACGGGGGTCTCTTTCCCGGGTGATAAAAATAGTTCGAAACTAGCAAGGGGTGTTGGTTGTACATGTGCATGCACTAAATGCCATTGAATTGCGCATTTTTATTTTTTATTTTATTTTTTGAGATGGGAGTCTGGCTCTGCCATCCAGGCTGGAGTGCAACGGCACGATCTCGGTTCACTGCAACCTCCGCCTTCCGTTCAAGCGATTCTCCTGCCTCAGCCTCCCGAATAGCTGGGATTACAGGTGCCCGCCATTATGCCTGGCAATTTTTTTTGTTAGTTTCGTAGAGACGGGGTTTCGCCATGTTGGCCGGGTTCGTCTCGAACTCCTGACCTCAGATGATCCACCCACCTCGGCCTCCCAAAGTGCTGGGATTACAGGCATGAGCCATGGCGCCCGGCCAAGAATTTTGCATTTTTAAATGGTTAATTTCATCTTGTTCAAATTTCACTTCAATAACAGACAAAAACGGATGACAAGTGGTATTTGACTTTTTTTTTTTTTTGGATGAGATGATACATGCTCATTGCACAAAATTTAACAGCTACAAAATGGCATAAAGGTGAAAATGTAATATTTTCCCCAATACCCCGGTTACCCTTTCTGGAGCAAGTCCAGTTACGATTCTTTTCTATTCTAGAACCATTCATGCATTTCCTTAATGTCGAAAGATGTCTTGTGATACTACAGCCGCCATTCATGCTCACTACAGGCCAGCACACAGTGCAGAAAAGGTGAAGCACAAAAACTAAACAGGAAAATCTCTCCTTGCACCATTGCCAACAGGTTAGTGGTTTTGCCTGGAATATTTTTTGAGCATGTAGGTAGTTGGTTAAACTTAGAAACGTCTTTTTTCGTGCATGGGTAGTTGGCCAAGCCGCCGTGGGGCAGAATGCAGCAAGCTCCGAGGATCATCCAGGGTCTGCAGGCCTGGAGAGCACACAGGTGTCGGCCCCACCTCTGCAAACTCTGTCCCTCCCATGCAGCGGACAATAGGCCACTCCGTGGGACAAAGGCCCGCGGCCGCGCCTGCGCAGAGCGCGCAAGGGCTTCCGGGGCGCTCCCGGGACCCCGGCCTGGCCCCGCCCCCTGGCGCGGCGCGGTGTCGTCACGGAGCTGCCATGGCGTCGCTGAGTGGCCTGGCGTCGGCGCTGGAGTCGTACAGGGGCCGGGACCGCCTGGTGAGGCAGGGGCGGACTGGGGCCGAAAGTCCTACAGTTTGGTCCAAGCTCAGAGACGGGGTAACTGAGGCCACAGAAGGGACGGGGTCGCTTAGAATACCCCGTCGCAGTGGCCCCCTCCGTGCTAGGCTCAAACGCGGTGCCTTGATTGATTGAAACGGAGTCTCGCCCTGTAGCGCAGGCAATGGCGCGATCTCAGCTCACTGCAACCTCCGCCTCCCGGGTTCCAGCGATTCTTCTGCCGCAGCCTCCCGATTAGCTGGAACTGCAGGCGCGTGGCACCATTTAGGATCTAACCAGGCCACTGTAGTTGGTCCCTGGGTTATCCCAGACAATCTCATGTGGGGATTTAGGATATTGTCAGGCTTTCCCTATGGCTGGACAGTTTTTTTTTTGAGTTGAACTCTCGCTCTTGTCCTCCAGGCTGGAGTGCAATAATGGCGTGATCTTGGCTCATTGCAACCTCTGCCTCCCGGGTTCAAGTGATTCTCCTGCCTTAGACTCCCGAGTAGCTTGGATTACAGGTGCCTCACACCATGCCTGGCTAATTTTTATATTTGTAGTAGAGATGGGGGTTTCATCATGTGGGCCAGGCTGGTCTTGAACTCCAGACCTCAGATGGTCCACCTGCCTCGGCCTCCCAAAGTAAGCTGCCACGCCTGGCTGGCTGAACAGTTTTTTTTTTTTTTTTTTTTTTGAGACGGAGCTTCACTTTTGTTACCCAGGCTGGAGTGCAATGGCGCGATCTCGGCTCACCGCAACCCCCGCCTCCTGGGTTCAGGCAATTCTCCTGCCTCAACCTCCTGAGTAGCTGGGATTACAGGCATGCACCACCATGCCCAGCTAATGTTTTGTATTTTTAGTAGAGACAAGGTTTCACCATGTTGACCAGGATGGTCTCGATCTCTTTTTTTTTTTTTGATACGGAGTTTTGCTCTTGTTACCCAGGCTGAAGTGCAATGGCGTGATCTCTGCTCACCGCAGCCTCCGCCTCCTGGGTTCAAGGCAGTTCTCCTGCCTCAGCCTCCCGAGTAGCTGGGACTACAGGCGTGCGCCACCATGCCCAGCTAATTTTTGTATTTTTAGCAGAGACAGGGTTTCACCATGTTGGCCAGAATGGTCTTGATCTCTTGACCTTGCAATCCACCCGCCTCGGCCTCCCAAAGTGCTGGGATTACAGGCTTGAGCCACCGCGCCCGGCCGGCTGAACAGTTTTAAGTTCCAATCAAGTCTCATATGATTGGGCATTTAGGTTATGCCATCCATGCCCCTGAGTTTGGACTCTTAGCTTGTCCCCACCAGTCTGTTATAGATAGACATTTAGGTTGTACCAGGGGGTGTACTGGTGGCTAGGCATTTAGATTCCATTCAAATCTCTTATGATTGGGGGGGTTTTAACAAATCCCCTCTGCGTTGGACATTCAAATTGCAGTGTTTTGCCATTATAACTGGCTGGAAAGGAATTACAAGTAAAAATAATAAGTAAAAATAATAAAGGAACAAGCAATTTCTGAAAAGCAGGTTAACTAAAGATATAAGGGAGGCTGGGTGTGGTGGCTCATGCATATGATCCTAGCACCTTGGGAGGCTAAGGTGGGTGGATTGCCTGAGCTAAGGAGTTTGAGACCAGCCTGGGTAATGTGGTGAAACCCCGTCTCTACTAAAATACAAAAAATCAGTTGGGCATGGTGGCATGAGCCTGTAGTCCCAGCTACTCAGGAGGCTGAGGCATGAGAATTGCTTGAACCTGGGAGGCAAAGCAGTGAGCTGAGATCATGCCCTTGCACTCCAGCCTGGGGAAGACTCTGTCTCCAAACATATATATATATATATATATATATATATATAGTGGAGATGCCCTAGTTCACACGGCTCCAAATCACCTACTGAGTGGGTTCTTTCTCTCTAAAGTAATTCAAGCAAATTATCCTGTTGTTCATTGGGTTGAGAGCTGATCACCTGTGCCCAGCGGCCAGCACAGCCAAAGGCTTTGGTCCAGGCAGGTAGATGTAAACATACACTTTAGCTTCGGCTTCCTTCCACCTGGGAAAAGAAGGACCTGGGAGGTGGGAAGTAAGGAGTTTTGTTCTCATTGTTCCTGTCACATCTGTCCCCAAGGTCTGAGCCCTTCAATGACATGAGCAGGCACTCTTGTTCCCCACAGTGTCTTCAGACAATGATGTCATGTTTCTTCATTTGTCCCACCTACAAGTATGTTTTTAAACTTTCAGCTTTTTTTTTTTTTTTTTTTTTTGAGTCAGGGACTCACTCTGTTGCTCAGACTGGAGTGCAGTAGTGCGATTATAGCTTGCTACAGTCTGGAGCTCCTGGGTTCAAGTGATCCTCCGGCATCAGCCTTCCAAATAGCCGTGATGCCCTGTTAATTTAAAAAAAAGTTTCGTAAGCTGGGCAAGGTGGCTCACGCCTGTAATCCCAGCACTTTGGGAGGCTGAGGCAGCGGATCATGAAGTCAGGAGTTCGAGACTATCTTGACCAACATGGTGAAACCCCCGTCTCTACTAAAAATACAAAAATTAGCTGGATGTGGTGGCGTGCACCTGTATTCCCAGCTGTTCAGGAGGCTGAGGCAGGATAATTGCTTGAACCTGGGAGGTGGAATTTGCAGTGAGCTGAGATCGCACCACTGCACTCCAGCCTGGGTGACAGAATGAGAGTCTGCCTCAAAAAAAAAAAAAAAAAAAAAAAAAAGTTTGGTAGAGACAGGGTCTTGCTATGTTGCCCAGGTTGGTCTCAAACTCCCTGGTCTCAAGGCATCTTCTCATCTCAAAGTGCTGAGGTTACAGGTGTGACCCACCATGCCCCACCTAAACTTTCAGCTTTTATTGTAAGTTTGTAGATTTAGAATCTTCCACATCCTCAGGTCAGGCATAGTGATTCATGCCTATAATCCCAGCAGGGAGGCCAAGGCGGGTGGATCTCTTGAGGTCATGAGTTCTAGACCAGCCTGGCCAATATGGCAAAACCCTGTCTCTACTAAAAATACAAAAATTAGCCTGGCATGTGGCACACTCCTGTAATCCCAGCTACTTGAGAGGCTGAGGCACAAGAATCACTTGAACACAGGAGGTGGAGGGGCTGCAGTGAGCTGAGATCATGCCACTGCACTCCAGCCTGGGTGATACAGCGAGACTCCGTCTCAAACAACAACAACAACAACAACAACAAAAGAATCTTCCACACTCTTAATCCATCGGGTCCCAGGGCCAGGTAGGGGGTGATGAGCTCAGGTCTGCTGAGCAGGAGGGGCATGCTGACTGCTTCTGGTTTCTCACAGATCCGAGTGCTGGGGTACTGCTGCCAGCTGGTTGGTGGGGTCCTGGTTGAACAATGTCCTGCCAGGTCTGAAGTGGGGACACGCCTCTTGGTGGTGTCCACCCAGCTCAGCCACTGCAGGACCATCTTGCGGCTGTTTGATGACCTGGCCATGTTTGTCTACACTAAGCAGTATGGCCTGGGGGCACAGGTAACAGGGTTTGTGGGGCTGTAGGGCGTGGGGTGCAGACCTCAGTGGACATTTAAAACAATTTAAGAGACAGGGTCTTGCTCTCTCGTCCAGGCTGGAGTGCAGTGGAGTGATCATAGCTCGCTGCAGCCTTGAACTCCTGGGCTCAAGTGGTCCTCCTGCCTTAGCCTCCCTGAGTGCTGGGATTACGGGCATGAGCCACCGTGAGCGTTTTATAGTCTTGTCCCAAAATGCTCCCTGCGTGGGTAGTTTATTACTTTCTGTAATTTCAGTTTCTTCTTTGAGAGGATCAGATGTCCTTGCTTTAAAATTTTTAAAAATAGCAAACGTTCACACGTTCCAAAGGGGGATATAATTTTAAAAAACCTCCCTCCTTCCTAATCTTCCAGGCCTCCAGTTTTCCCCACAGAGGCAGACACTGTGGTCAGCTTCTTTTTTTGGAGACAAGGTGTCATTCTGTGACTTAGGCTGGAGTGCAATGGCATGATCTCGGCTCACTGCAACCTCCACCTCTGGGGTACAAGTGATTCTCTTGCCTCAGCCCCTCATGTAGCTGGGAATACAGGCAGCCCCCACCATGCCTGGCTAATTTTTGCATTTTTAGTAGAGACAAGGTTTTGCCATGTTGGCCAGGCTGGTCTCAAACTCCTGACCTCAAGTGATCCACCTGCCTCAGCTCCCAAAGTGCTGGGATGACAGGTGTGAGCCATAGAACCAGGTGATCATTTCTTACCAGTCTCAAAAAGAGCTCCTTTCTCAGGACCACACAGCGCTCTGCTCAGCAGATCCTGATTTATTTAACCCGTCTCCAGCTGACACACAGGGGCATGACTTCTAAGGTTCTGCTATTGTGACAGTGCTGCAGAGACTAGCCTTGTCCCTGTGGCATCCCTCAAGCGTGCCAGCCTAGCTAGAGGGCCATCTTGCCCCCCAAGGGATGGGAGGCTGCATGGGCCAGCCTCTCAGCGTCATGCCCCTCCCTGGGCTACTCTGTCTGTTCTCTCGGTCCTCCCAGGGATCACCCCTCTGAGGCACTTGCTACTCAGATGCTCCCACCCCGAACCCCCAGCCCTACCCCATTCAGTGCCACATGTCCTTGGCCTGATCATCCCACATCACGAGTGTTGCTCTTGGCTGTCTTCCTGTTTTGCCACCTATGGCATCGTCCTCCTCCATGTCTGATGACTCCCGGAGACTCCTCCCTCCTCTATCCCCTCGGTGGAAGAGCCCTCAAGCAAGGGGTGGGGGCCCCTGCACCTCGAGTATCCCTTGGCCAGAACAAAAGCCCCTTTTGCTGGGTTCCACGTTTCTATGTCTGCGTCCCTCCCTGCCCTGGTGAGCCTCTGCCCCTCCCCAGAGTCTAGCCTGGACCCTCTGATTCTCTGGAAATCTGGGTGGAATGAGCACACTGGGGCGGAGTCTGCCATCCTCAGCGAGGTGGGAAATGTGCCAGGCAGATGAGGGAAGCTGGAGTGAGGTTCGGAGCCTGGAGGGAGGCAGGATCATGACAGAAAGAAGAGGAATCAGAAGAAGGAAGCAGCATCAGGATCAGGGGGCGGGGAGGAGCTTCCTGGGAAGTCTAGAGGAGGAGAAGGGTGTGGCAGGCAACAAGGACAGTACGGGTAGAGGGGGCAGGGTTCCGAGGGGCAGGATCCCAAGGGGCAGGGTCCCCAGTTGGCAGTGGAGCTCCAGTCCCAGAAACCAGGCCTCAGCGCTGTGCACCTATAGCCTCTACTGGTCCTGCCTCCCTTGCTCTAGGTGGTCGTTAAGAATTTAGGGCAGAGGGTATGGGTACCGTGCAGGACCGAGAGCCTGCATGTGCATTGCAGTTCGAGGGCCTGGTGGACCATCCCTGCAGAACTGGGGCTGGTGACTTTCCATGAGAGCCTCTGTGTGGCCGTCTGTATCATGGGATGGTAACTCGCTTGGGGTTGAGGGAGGTGATGCGAGCCTTTCAGCTCTGTGCCTGTCTTGGGGTCAGCACTGGGCGTGCGCTGGCCCATAGGTCGGCATCAGTCTCAGCCTGGTCAGGTTCCCTGCGAGCCACCTCTCATGTTCCCTGCCTAAAGTCTGGCATCAGAGGTCCTCGCCCATGCAGGAACTGAAAGCCTTTGGGGAGGAAGGCTCTGATGCAGGGCTCCCAACTTGGCTGAACATAGGAATCCCCTGAGAACATGAGAATTCCCGGTGCTGGGGCCTGCCCCAGGCTGAGTGACACAGAATCCTCATGGCTGGCATCGGGCATGGGGTTTTGGAAGCTCCGCAGAGGACTGCACTGCACAGCTGAGTTGAGACTCCCCCTCCAAGGGGCACTGAACACCATGCTGCCAAGACACAGGAATCAGGCCTGTGCAGGGACCCCAGCCCCACAGCCTTTCTCCTGTGAGTGGGCCATAGACAGCCTGCTGGGCCGGGATGCTGCCCAGGGCCCGGGGTCAGGAAACAGCTCACTGCTACCTGGCATGGCTACAGGGTTAAAATGAGCAGTGGGTAAGGCTGACCCCAGGCCCCCTCTGCTCCTGGTCCTACAGGAGGAGGATGCCTTTGTCCGCTGGGTGTCTGTCCTAGGGAACCTGGCTGACCAGCTCTACTACCCCTGTGAGCACGTCGCCTGGGCAGCTGATACCCGGGTCCTCCATGTGGACTCTTCCCGGTGGTGGACGCTGAGCACAGCCTTATGGGCCCTCTCTCTGCTCCTGGGGGTTGCCAGGTAAGTGGCATGGGCCAGAAGCGAGCACCCAAGGTCCCTGAGTGGGCCTCCTTACCAGAGTGGCAGCAGCCCCAGCAACAGCGCTGGCTTCAGACTGAGGGATCCTTGCCTCAGAGTTTTCCTTGGAGTTTTTGTTGTTTCTTCCTTTTGTTGGTGTATTTGTTTCGAATAACTGCTGGAATGATTTACCGTAACTAGTGCTGAGCAAGAGAAACTTACTATCTTAGGATTCTAAAGGCTAGTGGTCGGAACCCTCCTGGGCTAGTGTCAGCAGGGGCTGGTGCCTTCTGGAGGCCCCGGGGAGGTCTTGGATTTTCCAGCTTTTAGAGGCCACCTGCATTCCTTGATTCATGGCCCCTTCCTTCTTCCAAGCATGACCTCTGGGCCATGCCTCTCAAAGTCACACCTCCTTCCCCGATTCTCATTCCCCTTCCTCCCTCCTATAAGGACCTTGTGATAACATCCAGACCACCTGGATGATCCAGGGTAATACTTCCTAAGATCCTTAGCATAGGTCTGGTGTGGTGGCTCATACCTGTAATCCCAGCACTTTGGGAGGCCAAGGCCGGCAGAACACTTGAGCCCGGGAGTTTGAGAACAGCTTGGCCAACATGGCGAAACCCTGTCTCTACTAAAAATACAAAAAGTAGCCAGGCTTGGTGGCACAAACTGACTGAGGCAGAAGGATTGCTTGAATCTGGGGAGACGGAGGTTGCAGTGAGCCAAGATCACACCACTGCACTCCAGCCTGGGCAACATGCAGAGTCCCCATATACCCCCATCCCCACACGCACGACCTCCCACACTTCTGGCATCATCCCCGTGGTGCACTGGTTACAAGTGATGACTCTCCATGGACCCATTGTCACCCCAGTGCATAGCTCTGTTACGGTTCACGCGTGGTTCTGGGCATCCTACGGGTTTGGGCATTGACACGTGTCCACACTTGCAGTATCAAATGGAATGCCATGCCCGTCAAAGCTGTGCTCCGCCTGCTACAGCATTCTTGTTTGGGGCACTTGGTTTCCCATCATTTCTCTGGTTTGGGGTGAGCATGGGGAAATGGGTGGGAGCCTTCTATGTGCGCTTATCACGACCAGACATCTGTCCTAAGGCCCAGGGCTGCCAGAGCATCAGCTGGGAGGTTGCTAAATGGAGATGTAAGGTTCCAGTGCCCAGGGCTTCAGATTCTCTTTCTTGAGACAGTCTTCCTCTGTCACCCAGGCTGGAATGCAGTGGTGCAATCTCAGCTCACTGTAACCTCAGCCTTCCGGGTTCAAGGGATTCTCCTGCTTCAGCCTCCTGAGTAGCTGGGATTAAAGGCATCTGCTGCCATGCCCAGCTAAGTTTTGTATTTTTAGTAGAGGTGGGGTTTCACCACGTTGGCTAGGTTGGTCTTGAACTCCTGACCTCAGGTGATCTGCCTGCCCTGCCCTCCCAAAGTGCCAGGATTACAGATGTGAGCCACTGCGCCTGGCCAAGCTTCTGATTCTGTGGGTCTGGGGAGGCCAGGAATCAGTGTTTTGCCCCAGTCCCCCAGGAGGTACCCATCTGCTGTACCCCTGGCACTATCCTGTGTCCTGTACCCTGGTTACAGGGTGGCCGGAGATGTGACCAGGCCCTGGCCATTCTGGTCAGGAGGTCACAGTCACAACCCAGCACACCCCATGGTGGAGGCTGGAGAGTGCAGGTGCCTGGTGGAGTGGGCTGGGTGGGTGCCATGCACGGCCGCAAAGTCCCCTGGGAGCACAGAGGCTGCCCACCAGGTAGCCCCTTTCTCAGCCTGCAGACGGCAGCCTTGGGGGCCCAAGGGGTCATCCACATAGGTCTAGCCAGTGTCCAGGGTATGTGTGCAGGAGGTGCTGGCATGGCACTGATCTGGGCCTTTCCACACAGAGCAGACCAGGCAGCCAAGGTCCAGAGGGGAAGCAACGTCCCCAGCCCTGTCCAGCTGCAGCCCCTTGGCATCCTCTTATGTCTAGGACTCCATGCCGGGCTGTGAACACCTCACAGGGCTTGATGTTCCTTTGAGCGCTTGCCAGTGGTTTGCAGAGGCTGGGCCAGCCCTGGATGGCCATGTCAGAAGCGCAAGATGTTCCTGAAATGTGATACAGATGTCCCCGGCAGGACAGGGCTGTGTTAGGGATGAGTCCCAGGGAACCTGAGGCACAGCCCGGAGGGCACAGGACTGAGATGTGGCCCTTGTCCCAGACTGTAAGGGGATGCCCCTGTCCCAGACTGTATGTCTGGGGCCAGCGTTGTGGAGCTAACCCTCCTGCTCCCCCGGGGAGGATATCATCCCCCTCTAAAGTGCTGGGATGACAAGTGAGCCACAGCACCCAGCCCTTTTACTTTTTTAATATGGCTACTACCAGTGCATCATCCTCCCTCCGGCTCTGGTGCCGCAGGTCCCTGTGGGTGCTGCTGAAGCTGAGACAGAGGCTGCGGAGCCCCACAGCGCCCTTCACCAGGTAGGAGCCCACGGTCACCCAGCAGCTTCAGAAGGCCCACTCCCTCAGCAGGTGTGGGATCCCGGCTCAGAGCTACCCCTGTGCAGGCCTGTACTGAGGTCTGTTGTTCACAGGTCATGGGGGTTTCACCTCAGCCTCCAGTGGGTGGTGGTACCTTTTACAGATGGGGAAACTGAGGCTTGCTTGAGCGAGGACTCCAGGGCTGAACCTTCATGGCTGCGCCCCCAGCTGGAGAGAATGGTTAATTTCCTGAGGATTATGGCCATTGTCACCGTTGCTTTTTCTTTTTAAGAGACAGGGTCTTGTTCTGTTGCCCAGGCTGGAGCACAGTGGTGCGATCTCAGCTCACTGCAACCTCCGCCTTCCGGGCTCAACTGATCCTCCTGCCTCAGCTTCCCAAGTAGCTGGGATCACAAGCATGCGCCATCACGCCCCGCTGATTTTGTATTTATTGCTCCTGGGTTTCCTCCGTCCCTCCACACCTCCCAAAGTGCATTTGTGCTTTTTGTTTTTACAAGGGGCCCCCATCTCCGGGTGTTCAGGAGGAGGACAGAGGTGCGGATTTGAGGACTGGGACCCAGGTCCCTGCCCTGTTGATGCTTGGTTTGGGAGGTGGTGATGGGGACTCAGTCCCTGTGGAGGGTCAGGGAGGCCACCTCGGCCCTGCCAGCTCCTCCCACTGGCAGGCAGGGGCTGTGGCCACTCTCTTTCCTGCCAGAGGCTCAGGGCTGCCCGGGCCACACAGGGAATGTGGGGGCTTGGGAAGGGCAGGTGGGCAGGTGTGAGCGTGAGTGTGAGCTGCTCCTCTCTGCCCACAGCCCACTGGCCCGGGGCAAGCGGAGGGCCATAGAGGTACAGATGCAGTCGGAGATGCTGTCGCTTCTCAGCAACCTGGCTGACCTGGCCAACGCCGTGCACTGGCTGCCCCGGGGTGTGCTGTGGGCCGGCCGCTTCCCGCTGTGGCTGGTGGGCCTCATGGGCACTGTCTCCTCACTCCTCAACATATACCAGGCGGTCCGGGCTGGTGGCCAGGCCGAGGCTGCCACCTCCGACACTGCCTGAAGAGCACAGGGACACACTAGGGCCCACGGAGGGCCCCTCTCTGCAAAGCAGAAGAAGCCAGGGCAGGGGCTGGGGCTGTACGGTTGCCTGTGGTGAAACCCATGGGCAGGGTGGGAGGAAGGACTGATTCAAGGTCCCCCCCAGGCCCCAGCCCAGGGCTACCGAGTCGGACAGTTTTCAGCCATGGAAGCCTTCAGCAGCACCTCCCACCCACCAGCTGGAGTCTTATATGCAAATAAAGGTGAACTGGAGGAAGCCCGTCGTGCCTTGAAAAGCTGGAATGGAAATCAGTTAAATGTTGTGGTGCTGGTGCCTGGCCAATAGGTGAATTACACTGGTGGCTCCTGGCCCCTTACCCTCCACAGAATGGAGCCACAGTTGGAAACCACACTTCCCCAGCCCACCTTCAGGAACGCTCTTGGCCTGGTGGGTCCCCTCCATCTCTGAGCAAGTGTTGCCCACAGACCCCAAGTGGCCTTGAGCCATTGAGGGCTGTTCTCTACTCCCCACAGTCCTGGGCACATGGGCCAGAGGTGCTACCTCCTGTCAGGCCACCTTAGGGTGTGGCCTCACACCGCTGTGCTGCAGACCCGAAGCGTTTTCAGGGCTCCAGGCTGAGACTGAGCAACACACACTGGCGTCGCTGAAGACACTTGGGGTTCCCACCTCAGCCAGGGTGTGGTGGGATGGGACAAAGGAACCTCCGTCTCTGGCAGGCGCTGGGGCACAGCATGGCCCAGAACACAACAGGCAGTGTGTGTCCTTGGGACTCATGCGATATCAACTGCACTGCTTTTTCATCTTTTTGACACCGGATCTCACTGTCACCCAGGCTGGAGTGCAGTGGTACAATCAGAGTTTCACTGCAGCCTCGAATGACTGGGCTCAAGGGATCCTCCTACCTTAGCCTCCCAAATAGCAGGAACTACAGGCATTTATATCATGCTCAGATAATTTTTAAATTTTTTTGTAGAGACAGGGTCTCGCCATATTGCCCAGGCTGGTCTTGAATTCCTGGCCTCAAGCGATGTGCCTGCTTCGGCCTCCCGGAATACATCTGTGCTTTGTTTTGTTTTTACAAGGAAGATATTAGGTGGCTATGAGCAGCTGGCAGGCCAGGGACTGCTCAGGGTCACACAGGTGCAGGAGACCCCATCTGTGGGGGCTCCTTCTGTCCAGGACTCATGAGTGGGCAGGCTTGCTGGGTTTCCCCCTTCTCTCCCTTGTGGGGGGTGTAGGCCTGTCCTGGCCCTCAGCCAGGGCCTCCTTCTCAGCTCCTAGTGGCACCCGCATGATTAGGGCATCACATTACCTACTGGGAGACTCAATTACCTACCAGCTCGTACCTGTGGGGCCCTAGGAGTGGCGCCTCCGTATGGGGAAGCCACGTGACCACCTGATGACAGGTGCCAAGAGGAAAAGCAAGCCACCTTCAGGGATGGAGCCTGGACTGGGAAGGCCTGGGATATTGACTGGAGTCCAGGCACGGAGCAGACAGGATGGATGTTGCCAGAAAGGGAGGCCCACTCTCCTACTCTCTGAGCTGGTCCAGTGGCTCTTTGTGTGTGTGTGTGTTTAAACAGTTTTATTGAAATATAATTCACGTATCATACAATTTATCCACGGAAGGGGGACAGTTCGGTGGCTTTTAAAATACTCACAGTCATACAAGCAGTGCCACAGTCAACCTGAGAACATTTCCATCACCCCAAAGAGAAACCATCTCACCCCTCAGGTGTCACCTACCCCCAGCCCCCAGGCTTGGTGACCACTGTCCTGTCTCTGCAGAGTTGCTCATTCTGGTCCAGCGGTTCTCAACCTTTCAGGGGCTAGGAACAGACCGCTTTGAGACCCTTAAGGACTACAGGTCCTCTTTTTTGAGATGGAATCTTGCTGTCACCCAGGCGCGATCTTAGCTCACTGCAACCTCTGCCTCCCGGGTTCAAGTTATTCGCCTGCGTCAGCCTCCTGAATGGCTGGGATTATAGGCATCTGCCACCACGCCCGGCTAATTTTGTATTTTTACTGGAGACAGGGTTTCCCCGTGTTGGCCAGTCTGGTCTCAAACCCCTGGGCTCAAGTGATTTACCTGCCTTGGCCTCCCGAAGTGCTGGGATTACAGGTGTAAGCCAGCGCCCAGCTACTACAAGCCCTCTTTGCAGAAGATCTCATTTTAGAGTGCCCCAAGCCCCCCAGGGCCTGCAAGGTATGCTGAGGATGGCTGGGGGCATCCCAGGGGAGGGGTCAGCTAGGCAGAGGTCAGGGGATGGCTGGGGTCAGGGTGGAGGGTGCTCTGTGGGTCAAGTGGACAGTAGAATGTGTGCGGGCCAGCGTGTGCTCGCCTGCGATGAGGGTCCCAACACCACTATGCGCTTCGGCAAATCAGGGAGTTGGGAGAATGAGAGAGAGAAAACCCCGATGTCCACCATCAGGAGAATAGCTACTGGCCAGTTTTACACTGTGAATTTGACCACAATGGAAAAAAAATGGGTTGGGTGTGGTGGTTCATACCTTTAATCCCAGCACTCTGGGAGGCTGAGACAGGAGGATTACCTGAGGTCAGGAGTTCAAGAACCAGCCTGGCCAGCATGGTGAAACCCTGTCTCTACAAAAATACAAAAATTAGCCGGGCATGATGGCGGGGGCCTGTGATTCTAGCTATCCTCCAGAGGCTGAGGCAGGAGAGTTGCTTGAACTTGGGAGGCAAGGGTTGCAGGGAACCAAGATGGCACCACTGTACTCCATCCAGCCTGGGTGGCAGGGCAAGACTCCATCTTAAAAAAAAAAAAAAAAAAAAAAAGAAATAGTAAATTATTTTCACCTTTTTCTTTTTTAAAAAAAAAAATTCATTTCTTTTTTCAATCCCCCAAATTTCCCTTTTTTTAACCCCTTAGAGACAGGGTCTCACCACGTTGCCCAGGCTGCAGTGCAGTGACACGATCATAGCTGCCTGCAACCTCAAACCCCTGGGCTCAAGCAATCCTCCTGCCTTGGCCTCCTTCGTAGCTGGGACTACAGGTGCACACTATCATACCTGGCTCATTTTTTTTTTTTTTTTTTTGGAGAAGGGGTTTCACTATGTTGCCCAGGCTGGTCTTGAACTCCTGGGCTCAAGCCATCCTCCTGCCTCAGCCTCCCTAAAGTGCTGGAATGACAAGTGAGCCATGGCACCCAGCCCTTTTACTTTTTTAATATGGCTACTACCAGTGAAAAATTCCACACGTGGCTTGCATCATCTTTCTGGTGGACGGTGCTGCCCGAGAGTCCCGTTTGCACTTCCTGGTGATCCAGTAATCGACTTTATACCTAGTCACCTGGTGACGGGAAACCCTCTGTTGAAATGGCAGTGTTCCTGCCTCACTGGACTGGTACTCAGACCAGGTGGAAATGATGACTGAAAACCCACAGCCAAGCTGCCTCTCACACCAGATAGAGGAACTGAAAGTTACAGTCTTGGGGGTTATTCTGGATTAAAAGCAAAAGGATCAGCAAAGCTGGGCTGTGGAGGCTCCACAAAAGCCTCAAGTGTACCTGGTGGGCAGGATCTACAGAGGCACCTCCATGCCCAACTCCTGCCTGTGAGCAGCACTTTGGGAGGCTGAGGCGGGCAGATCACTTGAGGTCAGGAGATCAAGACCAGCCTGGCCAACGTAGTGAAACCCTGTGTCTACTTAAAAAATACAAAGATCAGCAGGGCATGGTGGCGTGCACCTGTAATCCCAGCTACTTGGGAGGCTGGGGCAGGAGAAGTGCTTGAATCCGGGAGGCAAAGGTTGCAGTGAGCAGAGATCATGCCGCTGCTCTCCAGCCTGGGTGACAGAGCGAGACTCCATCTCAAAAAAAACAAAACAAACAAAAAAAACCCCAAACCAATAAACAAAACCAACAACTGGGGGCTGGACCTGAAGGGGTCTTCTGAGCAGGACATGGAGGGCAGGGGGGCGAGCTGAGGTGCAGAAGCCATGGAGAGCCCCCCACCAGAACCCCAGAACCTGCTACTCCTACAGTGCCATTTGGGCAGAAGATGATCCTAGGACAAAACCCCCAAGAACACCCATGCCAGTCACTCCTCATCTTGGACACATTTATTGCTAGAATCAGGTCTTAAGTTCTAAGGCGGGTCAGAAATATCCCTTGGTGAGGAAATGTTGTAATCACTGAAAAAATAATTAGCAGGTGACTAAGATCATGACCACAACTGACGAAGACGCGTGCAGATCCCATGAAAATATCAACATTTGCTCGACTGTCAACTTTATAAAGAAAATCAGGCCCTACCCAGGAATGGCCGAGGGCGCTGGTGAGGGAAGGGCTGTCAACGCCATCACCCCACGCATAGCACTACTGAGACCCCTTGGCCACGTGGCGGGGATGTGGGTTCCCACCACGTGGCCAAGCAGAAATTCCCTGAACTTCTCTCCCATCCAAGGAATTGTGGCATCTCAGAGGGCTGGACTGGCGCATGCCAGCTCAGGGGGTGCGAGGGTCCAGGAATGTTCTCTTCACAACAGAACAGGAACGTAGTCAGCTTTTGTAAAGTGCTCCAGTACTCAGTACAAAAATACAAAACACTGATGATAACCATGGCACAGAAGGGATCTGACGGCGGGGCGGGGATCCTTGGGTCACAGGGCGGAGAGCGTTGCTGATGGGAAAGGAGCGGGTTGAGTGGAGCCGAGGTTCTCTGAGGGACCAGGGCCTGGGGATGCCCAGCCACTCACTGTGTTCTCAGGACCTTGTCATTGATGGGCTGTGTGGCTTCGGTTCCTGTTCAACATCAGCTCCTGCCCTGTCCCCTTTGGAGCCCACAGCACCCAGTGGGCACTTCCTGATGGAGTTTCCCCTCTCCTGTGCCTGTCTGTCCCCTAGTGGCAGCAATGTCCCCCCATTCGCTGTATTCAGCATCACAGGAGTGGCTCTGCCAGTGCGGTGGGAGGAGAGCCGAATCTCCCCGGGATCTGCGGTTCCTGGGACCCTGGGTTTGGGAGAAGGACTTGGCGCTGGGGGGAGGGGGGGGCGGGGGGCACGCATGCCCCATTGGGAACAAGGATGACCAGCCAGGACCCATTCCTGCCACCAATGCTTCAGGAGGTGCCATGGGGAACCCTGGGGTGCAGAACAAGGCTTGAAATGTGCCCCTCCTCCACCGGAGCCAGACCATGTGTGGATCTGACCACCTCGGGACATCCCAGCACCATCGACACTGCCCAGCACCTCCTTCCTCCACTCCTCCGGGGTGGTGGACCAGGGGCTGCAGCAGCTCATGCAAGCAAGGGTCCTGCACGGCGGCCACTTGTCCGCTCGCCACAACGTCTCTAGGCACTTCCTCCCATGCCCCGGAGCGCGGTGCTCTAGACAGTCTGTGATGTGCCAGCCCCCGCCCAGGTGGGACCCCAGCCCTGGGAGGTGGGAGCTCATTTCCTGGGGGCTGAGGACCCTGCACCGGAGGTGTGTACCTGCCCTGGCTGAAGCTAGAGGCCCGCCCCCAAGACAGGCCAAGCAACTGAATGACGACGGGTGCCTTGGTGAAGCAGATTTCGGGAACCAGCTGGTTTCAAAACTGGTGCCAAGTAAAAAGGAGCAAAGGTCAGCCCCTTTTGCAATGGGCATCCGAACCCACAGAACCTGCCCGGAGTGCCACTGGTGTCCCCTCAGTGGGCCCTGCCCGTGGCCCTCTCTGCTCCTGCCCCCATGCCTGGCTCATTCTCTGGCCCTGAGGTTCACGGTGAACCTGCATGGGTCTCTGCTTGGGATGTGGATTCTGCCTGATTCTGGGGACAGATGCTGCTGATGCCATCGGCCCCTCCTGGCACCCTAATCCCTGGCTCCATGT